ATAAATTATAATATAAAATAGGAAATTAAAAAAAAATGCGCGACTCTGACTTTAAAATATTTTAGTATAAAAGTAGTCATACAAATAAAAATATAAATTCAAAAATGAATTAGAATATAAAAGAGAGTTATAAACTTTTCAAACAGCCCTCGCAAGAGGATTTCACTACTTACACCACGGCGCACATCGATTCCGCCAAAACCGGAGCCACCGCAATAGCTTGCACCTCCGCCCATTTCCTTAAGAAAATCGGGCACCTCCTGTCCAGAACCCTCCAAGATCTTTATCAAATCGCCGGCAATGGCGCGATCCTGATCGGGATCAAAGAAGGATGTGGCACGTCCACTATTGCCCACACGCCCGGTGCGTCCAATGCGATGCACATAATCATCGATATTTGAGGGCATGTCATAGTTAATCACATGCTTCACATTTTTAATATCTAACCAAAAGAGAGATTTAGTTTAAACAAAATATAGATAAACAGCTGGAGGCATCTCTCACCAAGACCACGTGATGCAACGGACGTGGCAATGAGCACCTTCATGGTGCCATTCTTAAAGTCACGCAATGCCTGCTCGCGCTGACTCTGCAAACGATCGCCATGGATGGACGTGGTTGGAAATTCGGTTTCCGAGAAAAACGAAGCCAGAAAATCTGCGGCACGCTTAGTCTCCACGAAGACAATGGTGCCATCGGCCCCCTCACGTAGAATTTCCTATAAAATATAAATATTTAAAAATAAACTTGAGTTTACTCAATCTCCCCCCCTCCCAGTCACAATCTGCCCGCCTCACCATCAACTTGGAGCGCTTGTTAAACTTGTTGACCTCGTAGATGGTCTGCTGCACATCGGAGCAGGCGCCGCCGACCACGCCAATGGTCACAAATACATAGTTGCGTAAGAATTCACCAGCCATGCGCTGTATCTCCTCCGGAAAGGTGGCCGAGAACATCAGCGTCTGATGCTCCGCACGCATTGTCTGATGATGCATTATCTTGCGCATGCTGTCCGAGAAGCCCATATCCAGCATGCGATCGGCCTCGTCGAGCACCACAAAGCGCGTATCATTGAATGTGATGAACGTGCGATCCACAAAGTCCAATAGACGTCCTGGTGTCGCAATCAGCACATGACAGCCCTTGGTAATGCATTCGTTCTGATACTTGAACGAGGTGCCGCCATAGACAATGCTAATCTTCAGATAAGTGCTATACGCAAACTTCCTGGCCTCATTGAAGATTTGGATGGCCAGCTCACGGGTTGGCGATACAATCACCGCCTGCGGCTTGCCAATCTCCAGATCGTGGCTCTCGTCCAAAATGTTACTTAGAATGGGCAAGAGGAACGCTGCCGTCTTGCCAGAGCCGGTCTGGGCGCAGGCCATCAAATCGCGTCCCTCGGCTATCACTGGGATCGACACCTTCTGAATGGGCGTCGGCACCACATAGCCCGACTTGACGACATTCTCCAGCACACTGCCACGCAAGCGTGCCTGATCAAAGGTCTTGATGGGGGGCGGCACGTTCTCGCCAGTCACCTGGAAATGTTGAAGATATATTACCAATTCGCAAGGGTAATTGATATACACCTACCTTAACAGGTATATTATCATACTTGGCAAAGTTAATGCCCGACGAGATGCCAGTGCTGAACACTTCAGTCTCATCGTTGGTCGGCTCGGGTGGTATATAGAACTCACGGGCCTTCTGCTTCTCGCCCTCCTCGCCAACGTCGTCGCGATTGTTGTTCATGTCGCCTCCATCGCCATCGCGATCACGGTGACGACGCTCGTCTCCGCCGCGTTCCCTGTTGTACTCTAAATTGAACATTTTCAATTAATATTATATTGATAAAAAAAAAATTAAATAGTTACGGCGAAACATGGATAAACACACAACACAAAAACAAACATATAAATAATATTCATCATATTTTTTTAGTATTTAAATTTCTAATATTTAAATTTAATTTATTTGTTAGTTTAAAAGTGTACAAAAACGAAATAGAAATATATTATTCAGGAGTATAACATTTAAAAATCGATTTGTTTTTACATTTTCCATTTTCAATTCAGGAACTCAAATATTTTTATTCATATTCTTGATGAGAATTGAAAATTCTCGTATATTCATTGTAATCATATTGAAATAATAATATAAAATTTTGTTTGGCAAAAATACCAAATGAATATATATTTTGTGTACATCGATAGATATGTATAAAAATTAAAAATAAGAGTTAAAATATTTTTAAAATTTAGCAAACAAATAAATGTAGTCTATTATTTAAAATATTAATAGATACATGATTATATAAAATTAAACAAAAATCTGTACATATATTTCAATACATAACATTGTATTGTAACATATTTATTTTATTTTAGAAATTATATCTCTCAAAAATCTTCATTTTTCCCTTTTCTATTCATATTCTTTCGTTTCATATGCAATATGCATTATCTTAAATACAATTTTAAAATGCACAAAATCAAAATATAAAATCCTGTTCAACAGATTTCCTTCTATAATATACTCAATCTTAATCTCTTAATGCTGAATATATATATTTTTTGTAATTGAATAATAAAATATATGTAAAAATGTATTATTTATAATATTTTGTAAGTCTTGAAATTAAAATGGATAAAATGTTTTTAAAATTATGCAATTGGAAATACATTTGCCTTAAAATAGACATTGGATTATTATTAATAATTATCTTAAAATTCAGTAAAGATAAAATTAACGTTCAATCAACATTACATAAATAAAATTCATTTCATCGATCGAATTCTCTCGCATCTCCCTCTCTCCGTCTCTCCCTCTATAATAGCATTGCATAGCGAGCATCTGCATCGAGCGAGATTATGTTGGCTGCCTTCAGCTCGAAGAGCACACGATAGCCAATGGCAGCTTCCATGCGCGTCTGGAAGAAACCCTTGGCACGCAAATCCACACGATCATTGCGGATTAAGGCGCCAATCAGTTTATGCATCACACTCAGCTTAACCTCCGACATTTTCAGTATGATCTGTGGATCGTAGGTGTACATCGCTGGAATGGCGACATATCGCACGCCGTCGCTGCTGTCCTCGTTGTCGTCCGACTGAGGAAAGTTTATGCTGGTGGCTATGGCAGATCCATGGCGACTCCTCAGCTGATCCTCCCTCTGTTGCTTACCGCTCAAGTGGATATTGTGATCGACCATAAGACGCAACAGATGCTTGTGCTCCACAATGAAGCTGAGACTCTCACGCAACTCTCTCTCCACACGCTTCAGGCGGGTCTCTTCCTTTGCCCCAGGCGATTTATCGGTTGAGCTTTGTATCATGGCAGTTGATTCATTCAGATCAGTTATCGATTGACCAGCATTGACAACCGCGCTCGAAGGCTGTTGGATAATCTGTATAGAAGTCACCAACGGCATTTCAGGCAACTCATCCAAGCTCAGGGGCAATGGCAGTGCCTGCTCTAGAGATCTGCCGCCCAGTTCGGGCAGTGGTAAGGCGAGCGTTGATCCTTCGGGCAATCCATCTATGTCGGTGGATAGAGTTGGTGGCGCCGTCACCTCTACAACGGTTGTTCTCTCCGTGCTCATGGACGAAGCCAGCATTTCATTTGTTTCCCCAGCTGCTGCTGCTGGCTGATGCTCAATCAACTCTCTGGCTTCAGCTCCTGGAGGCAACTCTGTTATCTCAATTGCAGCTGGCGCTGGGTCAATTTGTCCAGCTGCTGCCACTGCCATTGGTACCTCGACTTCTGACCATATTTGGTGGAAGAGATTGGACAAATAATCGAGCATCACCTCATCATTGCTGGGCGGCTGCACATTCACAATCTGCTCCAATTGATTTTGAGCTATTGTCACAGCTGCTTCTGCTGCTCCTGCTGTTGTTGTTGCGTCTGGCTGTCTGCGTTTCCGTTTGCGCCGGCGCAAACCTCTTGGCGGAGTGAGAAGGTTGTCGTATCCCACGCCCCTTGTGTAATTTGGCAGAGCAGTGCGTGGCCTAAATATCGAGGTCCAATCACGCGGCATTGGTGGCGTCAGGGAGACAGCTATATCGACTGTCCCGACAGCCGCTGCTTCAATCACTGTGGCTCCGACTGACGACTCAGCTGTCGATACTTCGTTCAGCTCCAGAACTCGTGGCATTGTCGAGGGTCTCATCTGCTGCAGTGGCTCCTCGTCAATAGCCGGCAACAGCGTGCGATAAGGCGTCGAGGCGAATGCATGACGCGAGCGCAATGCCAGCGATGCTGACAAATTTGCATCTACAGCAGCAGAAGACGACGCCGYAGCAGCAGCAGCAGCAGATTCTCCTATGGACACTCCACCGCCATTGTCCACATCGATGGGTGTCACAGGCGGCATCGGCGGTGGGCACACAGCATAGATATCTTCGGCTGATAAATTAGCTGCCTGATTGCCGCCGCTTGTCAGTTGCACGGCGGAAAGGCTGCGAATACCAATACCAATTGCAATTGTGAGTTCTGATAAGGTCAATCATGGAGTAGCAACAGCATCAAATGGCCAAACAAAATATTGTGTCCAGAAATGAGTTTGAAATTGATTCAGTTTGAATTTGATATTATCGTAAATAAATCTATTTCTATATTGATATTTAATTTCTATATTATTATTTACGGAATTTAATTGAAATTCGTCTAGAGAATTCTTCTACTGACCTGCAACTTTCTATATAAACTGGCTCACGAAATAAAAAGATTATATGGATTTAATTCGTTGTTCAGCCGTCCGTCCATCCTGCCTTCTGAAAGTCATACTGTCTGACTGAAACCAAGGAATCTACTTTGCTATAGAATGAATTGATTGTTGCTCCCGAAACGACGTTCGTTCAAAGAGCGACACGAAACAAAAACGAAAAGAGCCGAAGGCTCTTGCTCAGAGCGAGAGCGAWTATTGAATATGATTTAATGGATCAATTTAATAAAATTTGATTTTGATTTAAATTTTAATCAAATTTCAAAACGAATATACCAAAGCTCCATTTTTGAACACAATATTTAGAGAAAGAGGAGATCGATCGAGCATGCGAGTTGTGGAAAAGTCAAAGTCCAAATTGGAAAGCCGAAGGACGTATGTGAAGCGCACAGCCTGTTTGATATCAGTTGAGTTTTTATTTTACATTTACGAACAGAGGCAAACAAACACAACACACACACATACAGAGAGACACACACATACAGGAGGCCCCCATCGCATTTACACACACATTTAAATCATTTTTGTTTCATATGTTTCGAGTGAATGTCAAAATTGTCCGTATACCAAAATAGGTATAATATATAGTGCGTGTTTATAGATAAATCAACCGAATTTTAGTAAAAACAACAAAAAGGAAAATAAACCCCCAACCCAACCAAGGCTAATGTGGCGGCGAAGCAGTTTAGCATAAGGTGAGTGGATAAAGTTATAGAAAGAGAGGAGGGAGTTATATATAGAGAAGTAGAGATAAAGGAAAATGATGGAGAGATATGCTAAATATGAATAGGAATAGATAGATAGATAAGCAGATAGATATATCCTAAAAGACATGGGATTATGGATAAATGGATACTTGTAAGTACAGATAAGGTTTAGCGATAGAGAGATATGATAGACAAAAAGAGACGGAAAGAGGGATGGTAATATTAAAAGTGAGATGGAATATAGATAAAAAGGCATGGAAGGATAAATAGAATGAAAGGAGATATTGAAATTGAGATGACAAAATAGATAAAAAGAAATAGAAGCAGAAATAGAAAAGGAGATAGAGAGAGAAACCTACATAGTCTGAGAGTAAAACTACAGAAAATTGCAGTTTTGTAAAGTAAAGAGTGAGTCAATGCGATGCAGACAATGAAGCGAATGTCGTATCAATATAAATACAAGCTAGTGTTTCATAGCAGACGGCATGTGAGAACGGAATGAAACATTTAGGAAAGCCGAAGTCGAATTACTCAATCGAAGCTGAAAGGCCAAAGCGAAGTGTGGACATCTTGAAATAGAGAGACGTTTGGAAACAGAGAATGTGGGAAGCAGTATGCATACATAAATCGATATGAGAGATATAGATAGAAATAGGAACAGTCGAGAAGGAAAAAAACATTTGACGACTTTTGTTGCTTATAGATTTAGAGAGAGACAGAAGTATATACCCATCATTGGAGAGTGATGCCGCATGGCTACTGGTCATTTGGGCCGCATTGCCTCCACTATCCTGCACACTCAACGGCAACAAGCCGCCATGACTGGGCGTATTCTGACTGCGGGATTGCAGATCCTGACGTGGCAGCGCTAGCTCGAGATCCAGCTCATACTGTTCCAGCTCCTGCTCTCGCCTAGCAGCCGAGTCACTTGCACGATGCACAAACCACATGTTCAGTGCCAGAGGCGGCTGTCGATTGGACAGCCAAATCCTTTTGTATACGCCCAATGGCCAGGGTAGCGGTTGATCCAATTCAGTTGAATCAGGAAAATGTGGCTTGCGCATTTCTCGCAAGCGCATAAAGTTCTCCGATAGCCAACGTGTTGGCACTCGTTGCTCTACTCGCTCCGTTGGCATTTCTATGGCCAATTCCTCATCGGCCGGCTCTACGACCCCATCATTTAGCTCGTAGTTACGAGACGCACTCTTCAGCAAATTTGTTATGCGTTTTATGACACTTTCTCTATTCTGCTCCTTGGCTAGCTTTCGATCTCTCCTGCCAGCTGTGGAGTAGCTCGTTCGCGTTACAACTTTTCGACTCTGTCCCGGCACCACGATTGCATCGCCATTCAGTTGCGATTCCAACAGCTGCTGCGGCTGCAACTGCTGCAGCTGTTTCTCCTGCTGCTCACCCGATTGCCGAAGATTGAGATCCAAACGATGCAGCTGCAGCAGTTCATCCTCTGGCTGTTTGAGGAACTCTTCTATATCCGGCATTATGTCTAACATTTTAACAGAGACAGGGCATAATCTTTTCAATTCCTCCATTCGCTGTTTATGGTCCGATTCCTCCAGTTTTGCCCACTCCTGCTTAACGAGTTCTCTGAAAGCTTTTAGCAAATAGTCGCGTTTTTTACGTAACTCAACGAGCGACTGACTGGCTGAATTAAGATTTAGATCCTTTAAAAATGCTGCAATCGTTTCCTTATCATAGCTCATGGGCACATTGAAATTGAAGCACATCAAATGATCCGCTATGAGCATTACAGACAATTTAGAGGCGATACAAGAGCAAACGACACACAAGACATATAGTTGGACATAAATTCACGACTCATGAGAATCTTACTAAATACCTATGTAGATATAGAAAATGATTGCTAGTGTAGAGTCACTTACCATCGTTCTCATTGCGACGTCCGCGATAACCGCCTCCTCTTCCTCCTTCGTCATTGCGTCCACGATAGCCTCCACCTTCCCCGTCTCCATCATTGTTATCCATACGCCTGCGATAGCCGCCACCGCCACCTCCACCTCCGCCACCTTCGCCGTCATCACGACGTCCGCGGTAACCTCCTCCACCTCCTTGGCCATCATCGCGACGTCCACGATAGCCGCCGCCTCCACCATGGCCATCCTCACGATGTGCTCGGTATCCACCTCCTTCGCCATTAGCACGTCGCTCACGATAGCCATTGCCATCTCCCTGACGATTCTCATTCGGCTTGTCATCATCGCTCCATTCTGATAAGTCTTTGGATTTCGATGGTGGCTCCTTATTGTCGCGATTGACATTATCACGTAATTTACGAATCTGATCGGTGCGCTCAGGCACAACAGGCTAAATGAAAATTTATATTAAAAGCACTATTTAGTTAAATTGCATGCATATATTAATATGATTATTAACTCACCTCATCTTCCCAGTCAGACATGATCACTCTTGGTCGTTAACTAAGCTGAAAGATTGAAATAATAATAATTAATAAACACAGTTAATATACATTTACATATGCACAACGAACTCAAATTTGCCGCCATAACAAAACAGCGTGCACACTAAACACAGCTGCGTTTTGGTATTTCATTTCTTTGCCATTCACCGACGCAGAAATGAGAGCATGTTAAGCGCACCAATGCGCTCCGCTCTGTTAAGTGAAAAACGTGAGTTGCTCTGTTCTGTGTATGTATACACAGACAGCATGCTGCTTGCGCTTTTTCGCCTTGCCTTCTGGTAGTGTAGAACACATGTGCGCTTGAGTAGAGTATATATGTGTGTAGATGTTCACGCTTGTGTGTAGCAGCCAAAGCAGAAACGCAGAAAATTAAGGTTAGAGCGCAGCCAGGCAACCACACACCACACGACGACGAAAAGAAAAAAATAGCAAAAAGCAAGACTAAAAAAACCAATTTCTTATATTCTCACACACACACTCGCTCACACATCCATACACATACATTAACAAACAAATACACAATCTCAAAAACACACATACTTATATATTTTTACATTTATAGGCGCAGCAGCAGCGACCAAACACACACGAGTTTTTTTCTGACAGAAAACTCTGAAATTCTGTGTGTGATTTTTGCATAAAAATCAGTTGTGTGTGGAAAAATCAATCGGAAGATTATATTGCAAGTATAACAGCAATAGAGGCAATAACAACAACATGGATAGCGCCGGTAAAAATCGTTATGAACTYTTGTTCATGGACGACGATGTTGGCGATCCATTAGATAATCTTGTCGCGGCCAAGAAGAAGCAGCAGCCATCAACTGGCGCCTCAGCAGCGGCGGGCAACACAAAAACGGCGCCAACTGCCAAAGCAGCGAAGCAGCCAGCGGGCACAGCATCAGCAGCCGCCGCGAACAAAAAGCCAAATCAAGCCGAAAAGGAAAACAAACCAGGTGCACTTAACAAAAATGATGGCAAGAAAACGGCACAGGGCAACAACAACAATGACAAACTGAACGGCAAACAAGGTGGGGCTGGGGCTGGCTCGACGGTCGCTGCGCGCAAAACACGTGAAACTGGTCAAGGGCAGCARCAACAACAACAGCGCAATGTCAATTTTCGTCAACAGAATGGAGGAGGTGGCGGCGCCGGGGGTGAGGTAACGCGCGAGCAGCGCAACAATCGCCGCAACGTGCGCGAAAATGGCGCTCCAGGTGGCAACTCTGGCAATTCGACTGGTGCCGATGGCAATCCTCGACCATATCGCGCCTCCGGCGGCTTTGGTGGTGATCGGCCACAGCGCCAGAATCGCAACTTTGAGGGCAACAATCGTAAACGTGAATTTGATCGTCAATCGGGCTCTGATAGAACTGGTGAGCTACATGCATAGATATTTTATATATATAGATATACCAACTATGTATATATAACTCTGTCTATATACATATTTTATTATTATTTCTGATTATTCCTAACCCCAAAAGGTTTATCTCGACTAATTATACTCGGGCGCATTTCTTGATTTTACTCATTCAGAATCCATATTTTAAAACTGTAAAGAAGCGAAATGAGTGTGGCGCACATTTCTTTAGCCTCACTCGCAAAACACGCTGTATAGAAATATGTTTAAAAATAGTTTGATTCTACTACAGGCCCTCTCCCCCGCAACCAACCCGCAAAGCCCGTCAATCGTGTACATGGCTATCCCACACAAGTTTTCCACGCCATGGAACATTTCTTAGAAGGGGGGCAAAGAATACACACACATTTAGCTGTGGGCTGGGGGGAAATGCCGCCTCTATAGATTTTGCTCAAGAACTAAAGAAACTGTCATTTTATAAGCATTATTATTCCGAAAAAATAAAACCCTAATTCCAAAAGCTTGTCACATAGAGGTCAACACTTTCCGGCCCCTAGTTTCTTATCAACGATTTTCCACTATAATCTAGAACCTGATAAGATTCAATTTTCACTAACCATTTCGAATAGGTTGATGTAAAACAATCTATATATTTACATATATTATATAATTAATATTTTATTTTAAAATTCAAAACCAGGTGTCAAGGCAATTGATAAACGCGATGGAGCTGGCGCTCACAACTGGGGCTCGGTTAAGGAGGCCATCGATGATGTTAACAAGAGCAATGAAGGCGGCAACAACAATGACTCCAATGCAAACAACTCTAACAATACCGAAGGCAAGGCCGACGAATCTGGCAATGAGCAATCGAACGAACAAACACCACCAGAGGAAGAGACCAAAGAGCTGACCCTAGACGAATGGAAGGCCCAACAGCAGCAGCGCATCAAGCCCAAGTTCAACATACGCAAAGCCGGCGAAGGTGGGTTGAATATAGATAAGGGATATGTTTATATAAGTATAGCTATAGTAATATGATATACTAGAATAATTCTGGGGAATCTTGAAAATTTCAAAAATGTTGATAAGTAGGGAAGTCTTTTAAATTAGATGATGTCTAGCATGAAGAAAATGTTGATAGTATATCTAAAAAGTTCCTGATGTATAGTTACTCTTGTAAAAGGCTCGAATAACAATATTATTGTTATCTATAGACTATAAATTGTATTTGTATATGAATATATATTATAATTCAAAATTTAAATCACATTTTCACATCTATGCTGCAGGTGAGGACACGTCGCAATGGAAGAAAATGATTGTGCTGAACAATAACAAAAAGAAGGAGAACGAAAGCGAAGAGGAACTTGAATACGATCCTGCCATGTATCCGCAACGCGTGGGCCGTCAGCAGCGCGTCCTTGACATTCAATTCAATTTCAACGACGGTCGTCGTGGCGGCGGCGCCGGCAACTTCAATGGACGCGGACGCAACGGACCACGCGGCGGCGGACCACGCAGCGAGGGCAATCGAGGCGGACCGCAGCAGAGCGGTGGACAGCAAGGCGGCAACAATGCCGATGGCGGCAATGTGGGTGGCAGCGGTGGCTCATCTGTTCGTACCGAAGGTGGTAATCGGCCGCCGATTGAGCGTCGCGGCTTGGGCGGTGGCATTGGAGGTGGACATGCTGGCAAGCGTTTTGGCAACGAGCGGCAACAGAATGCTGCACCCAAGGTCAACGATGAGCGTCAGTTCCCAACGCTCGCCTAAGCTGAATTTGGAGATTAAATGTTGGAAGAGCAGAGAGGAGCAGAACGATGAGGAGGCTGAGGTTGGGAGGCGCTCGATTGAGGCGCCGGGCGTGCATTCAATTTTTAAGAGTTGGTGTCTGCAGATTAGGAGCAGAAACAGATAACCAATATATATATCACTCACACTCACATACACACCCACACTCATACACACACACACACACACAAACATACGAACTGTAAGCAAGAGTTGGAAAATTTGATTTCATTTCAGGCGGCCGCAGCGCAGCCAAAGCCAAAAGCAACAAAAACAAATAAATTTGATAAAAACAATAAGAGCAAACGAGAGAAATTATAAATATATATACAATGAAAGAAAATATATATATATACATAATATGAGAAGAAAACCAAACTGTAAATCATAAGCAAAAGCAATTTAGAGAGCAAAAACTAAAGAGCAAAGTTTCTATTACTATGACACGCATTGTAAATTTGTTTTTTATTTCAATTTTTTTCCGTTTTTCATTTTCCCTAGCACTGTTTCAAAATTTATATCATATAAATACAGTTCGCTTTCCAGTGAGAAAAACATCACGAACTAAATTTTTCTCATCAATGGGAAGGCAATTATTCATTAAAAAAAAAAAACGCCTACATTACATTTACTTTTGTTAAAATTAAAACACATTTTTATATGCATACGCCCTCATATAAAAATGCATTTTCTTTTTTTTTTTAATTTTTACTGTGTTAAAATTGTATTTTAAAAATTAATAAATGAACAAAAATAAAAACAAAAAACAAAAAAATCGCAAAATTTTGTAGTCCACAAAAATAGAAGAAAAAACTATACAAAAAAAAAAATAATGTGTTAAAAACTTGTAATTGTGTTTCTTCAAAAAAAAAAATAAAATAAAAAATTAAGATACTATATATATACAATTATACATATATATACGTATACCGCTATGATGCATGCTCTATTATATTAATTATAAAAACAAATTAATGTGCATCATATATACTAAATTTAATCAAAGCACCCACACACACACGCTGACAAAAGATTTACATTTAAGCCTTATAAAAAATAAATACAAAATTTATATTAACTATTGGAGCAAATAAATAAAAAAAAAACCTTACTAAGTAGAGCTAAACACAAACTACCACACATACACACACACGCGACTAATTTGAAAATCGCTTACAAGGAAAAGCAAGTAAAAAAAAATAAAATAAAATAAACAATTAAAACACAGAAAGAATAAAATAAAACAACAAACAAAACCAAAATTATGTAAAACCTGTAAAATTTTATGCTTTTACAATTAGAAATTGTATAAAAATATCTCTTAAAAATAAATATATATATATATACAGACATATATATATTTAATGAAGTTGATTATGAACAATACTTGAATGAAATGGCAACAACAATTTTACGAATTAAACCACAAATCCAAAATGAAAATGAAAAAAATACATTTTTTGACTAATATTGTATTGTATTTTGAGCCCAAAGAGAATATGAAAAACATGAAAGCCCTAATTCAACAAAAAAGTTGAGAGAAACTCGTTTAAAAACCACAAGAAAATATATAAAAATTATTTGATAAAAATAAACAGAAAAAAAAAAAAAAACCTTTTAACGTTGTATTGAATTTAAATTATCCTACATTACATCTTACTATAATTAATCTTCTTATATGCCGAACCCATTGCCCATAAGGTTAGGTCCAACTAACATGTCAGGGTTCTTTTAGTCGGACAGAGCTCACATAACACCATTTTGTAATTTATTTATTTATAAAGGCTTGAAGACGATTAATTTTTTGAGACATACTAGAACTATCTGTCAACATCAAGAGGCTTTTAGAAATGCATCATTGTTAATGTAATAAATTAACAATGCATACTGAGAAATTAGGAGCATCCAAAATTGTCTTTTGAGATAAAAATAAATGTAATTGGGAATAAAATATTTACTACGTTTACTAAACTAATATTTTAAAGAGCAGCATTATATTCAATGGGGCAGAAAATGTTATAGAGTATATAATAATTCTTTAATAATACATATGACAAAAAAAATGATTTTACAAATTATATTTAATTATTCTATATA